TAGATTAAAACTAAAGAAATGAGCCTGTTTTTAAAATGTAAGGAGTATAAAGTACAGATATTTGTGTAAAACTATAGGCGGAAAAAGCTATTCAAAGAATTCAAAAACTAAACTAACTAAAGAGCTAAAAAAAAAATAAAGTTGTCCTGCTGAAGGAACAACAGCCAAAAGGAAATTTCTACAACCCAGAAGTTTCTCCTATTAATGGCTATAAAGTATTATTAAATGATTTATTAACAACCAATAATGCTTATAACTAATGAGTTACAGCGTATTAACTACAGGTGTAAAACTTAACCTATACGAATTTAAGTTAAAGAAATCAATGAAACGACAACAATATGTAAGATTTTTAAAGGCTGAAATTAATACAATAAAATGTAAAATATAATAAAATAAAAGTCAGGGAGACAAATGATGTAAAAACCAATGATTAAAACCTTAAAACTAAAGGCTCTGACATTATTATCTTCCAGGGGATCCAAAGCTCCTGTGCTCGTGCAGAATCAGCTAATACGACTCGCTAGCTGCACGGCGACTAACTGAATTAATTACAGTTAGCAGCAGTAACTCATACATTCAGCAACAAAACATTTTCTTTCTAAAATATGATCCAGTTTCACTAAAATCAGTAAATAAAGTTATAAAAGTTGAGTGCTTTGGCCCCCAGAAACACCCAATTGGTCTCTTCTGTGGTCTAATTAACCCTCATCACTTCAGTATTTTTCAAGCTAAGCTACTGTAGCTGTCATGTGCCGTTGAGGCTTTTTGAAAGTGGCGCGGTTTCATCTAAAGTAGGTTGGGAAAATGACAAATAGTCAAGATAAAGCAGGTTTTTTTGTGCTTTGGTGGACTTTGTGATGGACTTTTTTACATATCCTGTAATACAGCAACCCTCAGTCAGCATCAGATTATGACCACAAACAGTGGCAACTACGTTTATATCGGATATTTACAGATGTGTATGAAGTGTCTCATCATCTTCTGCTGGTACATAAAACAAACAACCTTTAAACGTCATCCAGCGAAGAAACAGACGATAATCAACCTCCAGCGATCTCATCTGGAAACATTCACTTCATTTTTACCCTCCAACTCTCTCAGTGAGTCTCAGTGAGAGATGTAAGCTTACTGCCCTCTGCTGCAAGTTTGACTTTAGTGCACATTAGAAACCAGAATAGTGGTAAATAAACTAGGTAATGTTACATGTTTTTACACACCCAAAACTGGCAGATTTTAATATAATCTAGATGTTGTTGACAAAAGAGGTACTTTTCAGATCGAGATTTTACAATAAAAAACACCTGCAAACTGTGAGATTAAAATGTGTACTCACGTGTATTTCTTATTGATACAAACTGAATAGTTTTAAAGGAGCAGTGTGACGGACCGAACAACCCTTTTTACAGCCATTGTTTTATAGTTTTTTATATGTATTTATTGCCTTTAATCAATAGAACAACTGAAGAGTGACAAGAAAGACGTTAGCTTTTGTTTGTCCGTTCTGAGCTACTGTAGAAACATGGCGACCCGCTGCGTCTGTAGATTAAAAACTGATCATTATAAGGTAACAAAAACACAACAATTCCTATATTAAGTTGATTGTTATATTATAACACACTAATAAAAACATAGATATAAATATTGTGCCTAATAGATCCTCCTAAATGTTCCACACTGGACCTTTAATATACTATAATAATATAAATATAATAAGAAAGGAGACATTCTGCATTTGATACTGCATATAGTTTATGTATTTTCATTATCATCTTTATATTTTCTATTATATCTTTATAATATTTTATTATTCTTTATATTTTTTACATTTCTTGCACTACATTTCCTCCATTTCTGAGTCAAACTCAAATCTATTTCTTCTTATTTTATCTTACATTAAATACATTTTGCTTCTACTTCTGCACTTTTATTGACATATTTTTAATTAAAGACTTTAACTTGTAATTTTATATCTTGCACTGTGGTTTTTCTACTATAACAAGTAACAATGACCTCGTACCACGTCAGGAGTCAGCCCAAAACACATATAAATAAACAACTTAACAGTCAGTTTTTAGACATTTAGTTTTTATTGTGGTCTCAAAAAGTACAGCACAGACAAATGAAGCACACGATTACAATATCTATAATTATCTTTAGCCTTTTTTACTGAATAATACAGAAAGCTGAATAATCGGTGACACTGAAAATATCATGCAGATCGTGTGGTCTTAAGTTTCAAAAGCAGAATATACAGCAGCGTGTACTTAACTTCATCTACAGTATCGTGGGACTCGGCGGCCCTTTTTACTCCTAAACGGCACAAATAACTTGTTGACTACCTTTTTTTTTACAATAGTGCAAAAGCTGACCATAGCAAAGCAATAAAAAACAAAACAAAATGCAAGCGGGAGATGAAGACCAGCACTGACGTAAACAGCTGCATAATACTGACCCGACAAAATAAAATAGCATCACGTCAATACTATTAAAACACAATCAACAGTGCAAGCGCGGCAGTCAAATAATAAAGTACATTGTTTGTCAGATCGACAGCGAACGCTCGTGAATGTTAAATACAGTGGTCGACAACTGTTGCTGAAGAGGAAGAGGAGGGTGTCAGATTTGGGCTTTTTGTTGATTTATCTTTTAAGTGGCAAATAAAATGATGACTCAGAGCTGAGATAACAATCAAACTGTTGCTCCATAGACAATGATTTGGTTCATTTATTTATTTATTTTTGTTTTTTGACTGGATGGTAATTTGTTGCAGTGGTTACCAGCTGTGGGGGGGGGTCGGGACACCTACAATGAATCACTGCTGCTTTACAGTGAGGTAACAAATGAGTGGAAATACTAAACATTAGGTTAGAGATTATTAAAATTATAATTTAAACACTACATGTGAACTAATACTGAACAGTGTGCAGTTGTGGACGCACTACGATTGATATTATTACAACTAAATATAGAACATTTGACAATAATAATAATAATAATCAGTCGAATTAAACTTTTTTTGGCAAATTAATTAAACTCACCTGCAACCGGTGTTAATGTGCATTAAAGAAAGAAATTATTCACGAGGGTCTGGATTATTTACACAATATTATTAACTATTATTATCAATGTTTAATTTTTAAATATCCAGATTATTGTCACTATCAGTCTATAAAGACACCCTTTAATGACAGATTAAATAAGATAAATCAGTGTCACAGAAACTAATCAATGTCTCAGGTTATTTTAGAATCTAGATTCATTCATTTATTATTTTATGATATTTCATTTGATGTTTTTTATGGGTGGTTTGAGTGTAATTTATGATGACAGATGATTTTATATATATATATTTGTTTCATTATAATATTGCGATACAGTCCATAAATTCAGAGATGTTTCTAATCTCAGAGTGTATTTCTGGGTAAAATGAATGTAAAATAAAGTAATTAAATATAGTAATTAAACAGTAGAGAGCTAACAGTGACGGCTCTGCAGCTGGTGCGTTAACTGACCGATCAACGCCTCCATCTTTACTTTATTCTCACTCTCAGCTCTCTAATGTACAAACCCTTGTTAATCCACTGTCTATGGAGCAACTCTACATTTAACGTCGTATCTCTCTGGTGTTTGTTAAAGACATAATAACAGACGCTTCTTAACGCTGCTATGTGTAGCATTAAACTGCACATCGGCCCATCCCCTCGCTGTCTTTGGCTTTACTGAAAAAGGCCGCCATTAAACAATTAAACTGCCGTCTATTGAACGCCACACGTAGCAGCTACAGAATCGATTAGCAGTCCAGCTCCGTTTTTTAGAAAGAGAAACAAATACTCAGGCACGCATGGTGCACATAAAATATACGTTTAAAGAGACGTGCGGTGAAATGAATGTAAATTATTGCTTTGGCTGAAACAGTGTCACATTCAATGAATTAAAATCAAACAATCGTGAGTGTGAAGAACATTCGTAACTGAATCTCTGTGTGGGGTCAAACCAAAGGCAAAACTAAAAGTTGTGCAAACCTGTAAAATAATGCTCATAAAGTATTTTTAATTGTAGTTAATTATTTCTCTGTACGAGGAAAACGCTTTCTAAGCCCCGCCCCCCGTTTTGCTCTGTGCTCCAATGGCAGTTGAGTAAGCCTCTGCTAACTTTCTGCTTTCCTGTATTAGATATTATCTGCTAACTTCCAACATAGACGAGGCTAGCACATAGCTAAAGTTAAAGTTAACTAAAGTGAACAGAGGTCCAAAAAGGGGCGGGGCTTAGAAACATCAAAGTTTTTAAATATTTCCAAACATCCTTTTAGCAGGTTTACAAAACTTTTAACATTTGAGAAACAAACTGCTGCTGTTGATTGTAAATTCTCCACATTCGATATTTTGGCAAGGAGAAGTCCGTTAGAGGTGTTAAAAAGTACAGTACAATCTATATAACGACTCCCTAATATACAGACAAAGTAAAGAGATGAACTGGGGCCTATTTAGTTTGATAGGTTTTTTTGATTGAATAAGCGCCAGCAACATTTCTTTTTCATGCTTCGACGGATCATTTACATTTTTAATCTATAGCTCTTCATTTAGAATATAAAATATTTGACATGTTGGAGCTCGAAAAGCCCGACCAGCTAATTGCCAAAATATCCAGAACTGATGATCACAATCAAAAAAGGTGAATTCTTCTTTTGGTTGAGAAAGTAAATTTTGGTTTTGTTATGAGAACAATAAGCTCAAAGGGTTTCATATAACTGAGGTTGTAAACGGCTGTGATACAATCGTCATGAATCTTTAAAGCAACACGTAATGATGTGAGTCTGTGACGTCGATGGTTTGCAGCCTCCTCATGCACAGCTACAATCGCTATGGTCATCTCTGATGCTGGTGGTCTAACGCTGCAGTGAGGGCGTAGAGGCAGTGTGTGTGTGTGTGTG